AAAACCTACCTCTGAGCTCTCACGTCCCTTGGCATTTCTAACTTTGTCACTGTTTAAGACATTATTAAAAATACAAAATATTTATTCCACAGATCTCTTACAGATATGGAGGACACCAATATGTTGTCAAAAAATAAGGATGATTATTTTAACACATAAGAAGAGAAATAATTTTAAAATATATGAATTTGTATTGAATGTTATTGTTAGGCTTGCTCAAAAGCACAAAAACCTTTAGCAAACTCAGGGCACACAAAACCCTTTCCCAAATAAATCTGAGAATTCTTCGTTATGACTTTTTAATTTCTGTGTGTTGAATAAGAACACTAGCTCCAGTGGACAGCTACTGATTTTCCCTAAGATCTAGTCCCTCTTCTGCTAACAGCATCCTGATTTCCTCTGGGGAACCACACATCTAAAGCCATTTCATTTGTGCAGGGCTAACTCCACCCCAAACATGTGACTCCGTTTGACCAATGAAAGACCTGCCTTTCCTGGCCGCTGTAATTGGTGCAGGGAGAGCCAGGCCAAGCCAATGACAGTCCTCCAGGAAGGCTTAGCCCAACACTGGGGTTACGATCCTTGGCAGTGTTTAAGTGGCAGAACGTAAACATGGAGCTGCAGGATGTCATCTTGCCAAGGTGGCTGAGAATGCGGACAACAGCATGGAAGCAGAGCCAGGCAACGGAAAGAAGAAATAAGGGCAGAGCTCTTGACTCCAACTGGGCCGGAACCAGTTCTACCCATGGAATTTTTCAGTTTACTTGAGCCACTGAAGACCTTTTAGGATGTATTCAGTTTGAGTTTGATTTCTGTGTAGTCCAGGCCAATTAAAAACATTCTAAGAGACCATATTTACATTTACTTCAAGACCCAAGACAGTGACTTCAGTTACCGTCACTGCACTGGACTTTGTGGCACAGACTGCCTAGCCCATGAATGAATGGATGGAAAATTACAGTTCTGGCACTTGAATCCAGTTTCAAATCCAGAGCCTCCTGGGCAAGACACCTGCTCTAACACTATAATTATCCATCCTTTGACACATTTTATGTGTGCCACTAACAATTCTAAGCGTTCAAAGCCAAAAACCCCTTGACATGGTAGCTGACTAATAAACTTAAAGTTGCAAGAGAACTGCCGCCGATCCCTTCCTGCGGCCTTATGTCCTGGCTATGTTTTCCAGCT